GGCAGTGAAATCCCAGATTCTGAAATCCCAGCCACACCTCCTGCCCCAGCTCTCTCAGCAAAGCCCTCCCTACTCTCCCAGAACACCTTTACAGCTCCTGGCAATCTCCCAGTTCCTCCCAGTCCAGCCCAGCTTTGCAGCTCGTAGCTGGGTGTGGAGTTAATTGTCTCTCCAGCACCTTCCATCTGGACTTCTCATAGAACACCTCTGACCCCATGAGAATCTGCTTGTGTTTTTTTCCAAAAAGGCACAGGGGATGCACTCCTTCCTCTGCCAATTGCTCCAAAAGAGGATCCAGCAATCACTGGAGCAGTGTTCAAGCTCTCTTACTACTTTCTGGTTAATCAACAAATGTACTACAAATGTGGCATATGGTCTGTGARGGGTGGGGAGATTTCTTTTACACCAGAGTGAAAGCACTCCTTCCAAGTGAATCCTGAGAGCTGATCACACTGTGGTCATGTGGCTGTGTCAGGATCCTGTCAAAATACATCKCAGCAGAGATGGAGATCRGTGACATCTTGCTGARTTCTGCCAGATRCCTGGTGGGATCTCAGAGGGGKTTGTTGGAGCCTAAAATCTGCTTGYGRGTCCCTGAAAGTGTGTGGCTTGTGACTGCAGCTCTAACCCATCTCCCATCAGGGATGCCTGAACTTGGCCTGGGGCAAACTGGCCACAGAGGGGTTAACTTAGATTTCCTTTTGATTGCTCAGTGGATCCAGAAGTTTAATAGCTTTCCTTTGGAAAGGACAATTAACAGCACCGGGGGTTATCCTTTCATCTTGCCATATGGATTATCACACCAAAGGGCGTTGAGGTGTGGACATAAAGGTCCTCGCATTTCTGTCTGCMAAGAGCTCATCTTTGTGCTCTTTTTTTTTTCTTTTTTTGGAGGGTTTTCTTCTTTATTTTCAAGTGGCACACAGATGCACGAGTGCAAACACAAATGCACACAACACTCACTTTGAACATACAAATTGCTGCCCATTTAGGGAGATCAATGCTTTCTCTAAAAGACCTTGTGAGGTGAGATTGCTTCCAATATCTCCCCAAACATCCCCCTCTTGAAAAGGAGTTTAGAGTATGCACAACTCACTATAATTCAGCTGCTTCATTAGAGGAAGGATGTTTTTCCAAGTCTTCACCATGCATCTTCCTGTTCAGCTGAGCCAGGACTTCAGCACAAAAATGGGAAAGAAAATCCCTGRACATGGCTGTGCTGGTCCAGTTGGGCTGGGAGGTCCCACCTGGGATCCACCTGGGATGGGGTGCCCTCCTCCTGCACCTACAGAGCTCTGATAGGGCCATAAAGGAGATCTGGGTTAAACCTTAAACCACCTCAGCACYTCTCCAGGGCTTGGCTGCCAGAGCAGGGGATCTCCTTGCTTTGTTTTTTTGTGTTCTTTTGTTAAACTGGACGTGCAAGGAGCTGAATGAAGGCTCAGCTGTGTGCACAGAGGGAAAAAGGGCAGAGGGTGGGAGGGCAGAAAACTGGGCTGTTCCTCCAAACCCTATGGATCACTTTGCAGCGACATTTATGGACGAGGAGCATTTTCTTTAACAAATATGAATCTAATGGATTAGGTCTGATCTAATTATGCATTCTGCATTAAGCCGATGCTCCCACTGTCTGTGGCTGCTAGCATAATTAAACTTAATGTACTTTTAATGATGTCTTCTTAACTCATGCATTCATATATGATTAGAATCAAACAGGATGAGATGTCACGAGTCCAGGAGAGCTCTTGCTGCAGCTCCTGATAGGACTTGTGTTGAAATATTAATAATGCAGATTTCAAGGTTAACAACATTGGTTTTGAAGTGGGGAAAGCTCGTCACGCAGTTTGAGCTAATCTGAGGCAACAAAACGGATCCCCTTTCAAGTTCAGCGTCTCCCCGTCTCACACATGTGCTCCTGGGAGCAGAGGAATTTGAGTTTGACTTGGTAAAGATGCCGTTAAGTGAACTGCTCAGTGGGCAGCAGCTTTCTGAGAAGCTGGAACAGAAACTGTGGGCACCTCTTGGGGGCTTGCAGGGTGCTCTGTCCTGGCTTCGCTCCTCTCTCCTTTTCTTGTTGCTCTTGTGGAAATTTATAGTGGTTTTGGCAGTAAAAAAGAAAGCTCTGCTTTTGTCTCTGCTGCTGTTTGATGCAGTGAGACCCTGCCAGCCCCTGCTGGCTCTGCCCATGGCCTCCTTGGCACAGGGAATGTGCTCCTTTTGGCTGTGCATCACCTTTTGGGATGGGGCCTGATGAAATTTAGCATTGCTGCCCTGGCCCCAGCCTGCTAAATGGAGCAGGTGACAATACTGCAATGAAATGCTGGGGTTTCCCCTCGTTTTCCTGTTTTTATGGAAGCTTTTTTTTATTTTTATTAGCCAATGGCCTGGCAGACAGGTTGTCTTTTGAGCTCCTGGGAGCAAGCTGTGCAATGGTTTGAAATCCTTCCAGTGGGAAAGCATTGATTTATTACACTGCAACTCTGATGCGAACAACACCGTGTACCTTTCATCTGAAAAGTCAGGACTTACAGAACATGACATGCCATTAATTTTGATGCCAGCTCGAAAAGGGAAGGAATTATTGCCAAGGGGATTCAGAGAGAGAGTGTAAAACCAGCCCTGCGGAGGAATGAACACGCTTTGTGGCTGTTACTTTGTACCCTCTTGATCCTTAGGAACAGGAGGGTACCTTGGCAGCTAATCTGGGCTATCAAAGGCATCTCAATACCTGGGCATGCATGTTARTGCATGAGCAGGGGGTGTGATTGCACTGCTGGGGTGGGGGTTGCAGTTTCACAGCTCTAGAGATGGCTCTCCCTTTGCACAGGTCCAGCAGGTGAGTTCACTCTGCCCCTCTCCAGCCCCAAAACAGATTTTSTCCTGGCAGCCAGGCAGGAGAAAGTGCACACCAAGAAAAGGGAGAKGAGTCCAAGTGCTCTGGGAACAACCTGGCTGTTCCTTTTCAGGGCTGTGGCTCCATGGAACAGCCCATTTGCAGAAGGGCTCCTCACTGCCAAAATACATCATGAGGGTCATAGGATCACTTCTGCCCAGGGTTGAGCTGATGCCTGATGACTTTTGCCTTTTTACATACCCTTTTATATATATTATATACCCTTTTAGACATTTTCTGTACCATTTATGCATTCCTGGTACCTTTGCCTACATGCTTGTAATTCTTGTAACCTGATATTCCAGCTTAGTTTTGAGATTCTGCTAGGCAGAACAACCCCAGGGGAGGCCAGTGAGCCCCGTGCTATCTTAAAACTTGAGGTTCTAACCTTGGTTGGATCCTTCTCTCWAGGAGATATTGTGTAAACTGGGCTCCAGCCTCATCCTGGAGGGGGGTTCTTTAGGACAGGGGGACGTTACTTCATTTGTTAAATTTCTTATTGGGAAATTCTAGATAGATATGCTAATTTGTGAAGTCTATAAAATTGTGTATGTGTTATATGTGAGGTGCATCTTTGGAATTTTCCACCTTGACAAGCTGTGCACCTGGGATCCTATTAAAATACCAAGATAAACCCTTTTATCCCCTTAACTGTGTCTGCCTCATAATTCAAAGCTAGCTGATAGGGCAACAGAGTTGGATTCAATCTCTGCCCTATCCCAAAGTTAATTTTCTTTCTGAAGCTATATGGGAATGGAGATTTATCTGCTGCTAAGAGAACACCATGTACAAACCCAGATCCTATTCCAGGCCCTGGAGAGGAGAAACTGKCAGTGCTGAGGGTGGTATTGATGTACAGATGGAGAGAGATGGGGATGGACAGAAGGCAAATAGGAAGTGATGCTGGGTGTAGAATCCCAGAGTGGGAATAGTCAAGGTTTTGGTGGAGTGATCAGTCTCAARCTACCCCTCCATGCCTAGGAGAACTTGTTCCAGATTCTTTCACACTAAATTCATCCCTCTTGTACATTCAAACCACCAGGAGCAWGAGTCTGGAAAAAACCAGAGCAGCTCTGTGCAAGAAAGAAGTTGGGAAGGGTGTCATCTTTTTAATGAAGGTGGAGCAATATGGAATTGGAGTTTAMATGTGGATTTTGCCCCAAAAGCCCTGCCCTCCTGCAGGCTGCTGGACAGCTGTGCGTGGCACCATGATATCCTGATGTTTCTGTTATTGAATTAATTATCTGGGTAGAAGAGATGAGAGCACAGGGCTTCAGCTACCAGGACACAAACCAGCAGTAGAGGGTGACTAACTGATTTATGCCCACAGGTAACAGGGAGGTAACTGGGTATCTGTGYTTAGGAGGGGCCAGCAGCCTCAAAAGCCACCAGGGAACAAGTCGCCAAAAAGAATTTGGTGTTCAGCTGGTTCCTTTGCTGGGGGGAGCCCATCTCCTTCAGTCCCCAAGGTGGTACCACTGTGAGGGCTCAGCTGAGCTCTGGCATGTGCCTCGGTGGTGGAAACATCAGAAATGTGCACAGAAGTGTTCTCCTGGGACCCAGAGCCACAGTGAGAGCTGAGTGACTGAGCTGGAAACTCAGCAGGGCACTGAGTTCACTGTGAAACCTTCCCCACGCCTCCCAAAACTTCTGATGGACACACAGCACTGAGCTGTTGGAGCTGAACATGCCAGTGGTACCCACTGGTTTACAGAGCACTTTGAGCCCCTTCTCCTTGCCCTTGGTGGAAGGTAGGGCAAACAAACCCAGGCAAATCCTTTTGGAACATCCCAGCTCCAGGTCCTGATCCCACAGCAAAGGAAAGGACTGGAGATGCATCTGTTGCTCTCCTGCTACACCTCAGGGTTCAGTGTTTTTTTTTCTTCAACAATTGCTGAAGAAGGTTCTTGCTGGAGACTTTATTACAAGGAATATTTRCTTTTGCTGCTAGGAGAGAATTTTGTCCTGTTTATGCTGAGAAATAAATGAACATTTCTCGTGCATTTTTGCAATCTCACTGGGAACCAAGAATGAACCACTGAGTAAGAAGGGCATTTTGTGACTGAATCCAAGCCCACAGCACATTACTGGGTAATTAGGGAATTGTGGAAGACCAAACTGGGCTGATCCAGCATAGCCTGCCCTTGGGAAACCTCTCCTTCAGGCCCTTTGCTTGGGAATCTCTTGTTCTTTGAAGCCTCAGGGTTCACTGTCCCTTTCAAAATGTATTAATTCTGTGCCTTGCTGATTCTATATTTAAAACTTACCAGTGAGTAAAACACCACTTATGGATGCTGGAGATCTTGGCTCTCTAACCTTGGCCCTGTGGGTGAGCTGGGGTCCTGGTAAAAAGGCATTTCTGTGTGCAAAGCTTTTCCAAACTGGGAATGAGGATATGGGAAAAGAAATCCTTCCACATCTGTGGCACCATAAGAGTGCCCCATAAGAGTGTGACATCGATGAGTGTGGTTTACCTCAGTAGCTGTCAGTATTTGTGTAAATGTCCAAAACCCTTTAAAGCCTCCTCTCTTCCCCCCTTCCACAAGCTTTTGGATGAGGAACTGAGCAGGTCAATTGTGTGAAAACTGAGTGAGAAGCATCTTAAATGTCCAAGCCTCTGCAAGAGCAGGGGAGCTCCTAGGAAAGCTGATCCTGGTAGGGGTTTTTGGACCAGTGCTGGTTCTGAGTTTTCTCTGAGCTGGCCSTATCTTCTCTCTCTGTAAAAACAAGCTAAAAATCCTCTAATAGCCCTCCTCAAAAAAATATCCCCACAAGACTCCAAACAAAGCAAAATCATTAATTTTGAACCCAATGAATATTTAGTTTCCTGACTCTTGGGTAAATATTAGATAGATTCCCAATTTCAACCTGAAGCAGTTTATTTGGCTGCTGTTCACAAGTCAGACACAGCAATAATCAAAGAAATCTCTTTTGATTCAGGTTGGGTAATATTGCCTGAGGGGTAACATCGTTTTCATTTCCACACATCCAGCACTGGCACAAAACGGCATGGACAGGTATGAGAAATGGATCATGGATCCTTGGTTCTAAAATTCCAGCTGATAGTTTCTTTTTACTTTTTTTTTTTTTTTTTTTTTTTTTTTTTTTTTTTTTTTTTTGTGTAAATAATAATTACCAATAAAAATATTGCTTGAAAAAAAGAGAATGTGAAAAGAAAAACACCATTGCATTTGATAAAGCAAAATCCTTTGCAGTACTGCCAAAAGGAAAAAAAAAATAAAAGAAAGAAAGAAAAATCAAAAGAGAGTTAAAACAAATATAGCTGTTAAATAAAAGATCCACGTACCAAAGAGCAAAATTTAATGAAAGCCAAAACTGTTAAATATGGAATCCTGTTGAGAAAAAATGTCAATGTCTTTAAGAGTTTTACCATTACTCTATTTTTAAGAAAAGTGTAGTAAAAATACATATTACAAGTTTACATTTTCCACGCTTTTGTCCTATTCATTTTTTTTTTTTTAAATTTTTTTTGTAACCCCTCCACTGATCAAAAGCCTTTGACAGCTTGCATCTCACATCTTCACGTCACAGGTGGCCGTTTCTAGCACTGCTGCTGCTCACGGGGCTGTCCAGCTGCTGTCACCTGCTGTCCCTGCAGGAGGACGGGGCACTGTGGGTGCCACCAGCCTGTCCCCACCACAGTGACATGGCAGGGCCTGGGACACGACAAGAGCTGTGCCAGGAAACTCTTCTGAGGGCTCTGGACATGGAAACAGGAGCTGGTGGTGATAAGGATGCCTCCACTTGTGCTAGCGTTACACTGAGCTGATGTTAAAATGAAGAAAAGCAGGTTAAAAATAATGATGAACAAACAAAAAGTGCCCCGAAGGTGTTTTTGGAGTGGCTGATGGCAGAGTTCACGTTCAGCGATGAGAGGTGAAGATCACAAYGGATCCCAGGGGTGGAGAGAGGAAAATATTGGCACAAGAAATACTATGACCAGGCTTAGGACTTTGACTCTGACTTGCTGGTCTCCAAATTGATGCATGACAAGTGATAAGTGGAGCAGATGCTTCAGACCAGGCTGATGTTTAAGGTGGCAAATGCATTGCTCTGCACAGTCATTCACTAATGGTGTTCACACAGATTCCAATCTTACTTCCAGATCTCCTCACAGACCTGTGTCAGGCATTTGCCTGCATGATTTTCTCTTCACCTGCCTCCTTTCTTCCATTGCTCCTCTCTTGCTATGTTGTGAAAAGAAGAAAACAAGAAAAAAGGAAAAAAACAGAGAAAAAGCAGCTCAGAATGCTCCAGCAGCAGCTCAGTCCCTGGACAGGTATTTCTCAGTCTCTGTGAGAACTTTAGAACGTCCTTTGCCATCAGTGGGATCAGACTAAGAGGGCTCACTGTGGCCCCTGCCCCGCAGATCTCTCTCAGATGTTCCCCTCGGAATCCTTCACTCGAGGATGTCACACCCCTGAGGCCTCTCAGGCCCACCATGGTGGGAAGCATGAATCTGTCCATGCCAGAGGCTCACAGAACGATCCTTTTGTGTGGTTCTGGAAAACCATTCTTGCTCTCTTGATCTCCTTGCCTGTGGTTGGACCCCCACCTGCCTTTCTGGCACTGTGGGGTCCTGCAAATTTGGGGTCAGCACTGCTTTCCTGGCTTGTGGACGCTTCCAAGGATACAGGTGGGAATCTGCTACGGTTGTCTTTGTACCCCGACAGATCACAGCTTGGTGGRCAGGCTGGGTGTGACCAGCACTCATGTTGAACGTCATGGCTGCTTGAATTACACTCTTGTAGGATCCCCTCCTTGGTTTGCTCCAGCAGCTCCTTCCAGGAACCCATTCTGGCCARCAATCTCCAAAATGTCCCTCTTGGCTGGAGGAGAATGGCCATAGAGGGATTTCAGAGCAGAAGGCAGGGTGTTCCTGCTGCAGCCCACACTCGTGGCACGTTGGCAGGCTCTGTCTCTGGATGTCTGCTGATGGTCCATTCCCTGCTCGAGGTGGTTCCCTGATGTGACCACCACAAAGGGAGCACGCACAGAAGCTAAGCAATGAARGAATGGTTMMMAWTKSYTWWTWRSCCCCMAAAACCTGGGCAGGAGAGTCACATGTGAGGGGAGTACCATATTTACTTTCCCTCTTCAGCAGCCGACCGTGATCTCAGACCAACCCTCTGCTCCAGGAACGCGATTCTCCTCTTGAACTGCCGCTCATCCCCTCTGGAAGAATTACTGCTTTGTCCTCACGCTGCCTGGGGTTTCCAAACTCACCCACCACTTTGCCCCCTGTGAAATAGCCTCTTTCTTTTGTTCAGGCTTCTTCCTGCACCGAGTCCTTCCTGCTGCAGGGCTCGCTGGGGGCAGCTCCATCTGCCTCTGCAATAACTCCACAGCCMGAGTTCACCACAGAACAACGAAGGCAGAATCACGATGGACAAAAGAGGTCAATGCTGATGTCCTGCAGTGAGTTCTACTTGCCACATATCTGTTTTTCTTTTTTTTTGCTGTTAGTAGCTCAGACATTGTGGTTTGCATCCCAAACTAAACCAGATTGAAGGACTGAGCAGGGAAGGGGGGAAAGGGCTGATGTTACCCTGACACCACAGGAATTAGTAAGAAAAAATATATATATTGCACACACTAAGACTTATTAACAACCAAGTTAAAACAAAATGGCATTGTCCTCATTAGTGTTCCAGTGGTTCTTTGATCAGGGATGGTTCACGAGTCTGTAAAATCCCATTATACTCTCCTTATTGCAGTACAGACCTGTTTCTGCTCTCCTGCCTGTGGATCTGTTCACAAATAAAAAGGGAAATTGATTTGATTTCCTTGAGAAGATCCATCCGATTGTCCCTTCTGTCATCACTGTTTGTCTTGTTGGTGTTGGGTATGTTTTTTGGCTCTGGAGGGGTGGAGTTGGGCTGCCCCTGCTCTCACCCAGGCAATGGGTCAAAAAGGCCAATTACAATCCTGTAGCTCCCAGGGACATGCCAGTGCTGTGGCTCATGCATGGGATCGTCTGCATGGATTTGGGGAAATCGTGGCTGACCACACGTCCATTTTCTCCACTGCCTCCTGCTGCAGCCGGCCTGGGAAGGGTTGATGTCCGTATGGCTTCGTTGATTGATTGCTGTGGGATTAAACAAAAACCCTTTTTAGGAAAGACGGGGGGGTCTCCCCCTGTCCTTAGCAATGTTGGAGAATATCAATATTAACCAGTGCTGCCTTTCTGCCACTGTTCTCCCCTTCCTTGTCTCCATTCAGGCTCTCACTCTCTGCCTGTCCCCACTGCATCTKCTCTGTTAATTCACACCTCTTCTACATGCAAAATTAAACCTTTCAGCAGTATTCTGGGGTATAAAGCATCAGTGCCATATGCCAAAAACCTATTCRAACTCTCCAACATAAGAACAGTCATCCTGGATCTGAGCAGAGGTATTTTACACACTTCCCYCAGAGAGAAGCTATTGCTACTCCAGGGCTGTTATGTACAGTGGACTCTGAGTCACTGCTAACATATGTTAAATTTTCCTCATGTGAGAAGATGAGCAAGTGCCTGTGTTTTTGTCTATGGTGATGACTGAGGTGACTAGGAAATGCAAGCCKAACTCAGGAAACCAAATTTYGTSTTTCTGTTCCGGATACACCCAAAAYRTTTCCTKTCAGAAACCTAAGGAAWCCACCTACTTAGAACAATTCAGCTAAAAGATAAAGCCAATTTGGTTTCTTTGCATTCAAGCTGTCTCCAAGGGCACCTTTATTCATTCTGGACTGAGATAATCAGGTGAAGAATTACCCAAAACAGATAAATTTGGAACAGCCATTCAAAACCAGTCAACTTGGTGCTTTGCCTGGAGCAACCTCACCCAGCTTTTCAGTGGGGAGAAATTATAATCTAATTTTTGCTGTTCCATGGGCATTATTTGCTCATATTATTTTRCCCCCGTACTCGAGGTACCTCTCAATGCCTGTAGAATTTCTTGAACCCCAATGGGAAGAGAGCTGTAGCTCATTTTCAGTGCATTACAAATGTCATTATTGCTGACAAAACACTGAGCGTGCTGAGSTGACATAAACCCCAAAGAAGCAGTTGCTTATTTTCCTTTTGATTCTGGGTGAGTTTCAGTGAAGTAAAAACTTATCTGGATTTTTTGAAACTCAGTTTGTGTGCTCATAACAAATACCATGCTCATGGGAGRGTTCAAGATGAAGAAGACAAGGGATGTGTTACATGTCCCACTGCTTCCTTCTGTAAGGAATTGCCAAAATATACTTGCTYCACATGCATTAAATATCTATCCAACCCACTCTTGACATGACACACTGAAATTCAGGCACACCAGAATTTAGGGCTGAAACAGATCTCCTGGGCTGTGGGAAATATGCTTCTGCAAGATCATGACAGGGTAGAATTTAAAAAAAAAATACAGGAGGCTCTAGAGGCCAATTTCTCTCAAAGAGAACCCATAATTCTGGAATTTGGAGGCCCATTTAATCCATTCCAGGGCAACAATGCTCTGAGCATCCATTGGTGTTGTCAGCCTGGAAATGGTGCCAGCAGGGTGCCAGCAAAGGCAACAACAGGATGTGAATCATTACTGYGCTCCCCCAGTTTTATCTTGCTGYCGAGTGCTCGGGTKTGGGGATTTTTCCATTTTGCAGCAATGGTTGTATCACACCAGCCCCAGCACACTTCATCCACGCTGCACACACATCCCCATAGCCTGCCTTCGCTCGTTTTAAGGAATTTCAATGTGCTTCTGTTGCTGCTCGGGCTATGATTTTGCTCTATATCTGGATTTTAAATTAGCATTCTGCCKCATGTCTGATCTTGCATCAGCTCCCCACCACAGCCCACTTGACCCTCTTTCAGCTTTTTCAGCTGCTCCTATTCCTCTCTAGCAATSTGAGTGACACGGCCACTTCATTATCCCTATGTCTCGGCTTTCCACCCGTGGTCTGGGCTGCATCCGTCTCTGAAGGCAGCTCTGGAGCCGGGGGAGGAGCAGAGAGAAGGTGTGAAAGGCCGTGGAACGGGTTGCCACCTTCATCCGCTTTGATTCACTTCTGGACTTGTAACAAAACTCGATTAAGGCAACCAGCATGGCGAGTCCGAGCCCACCGATGAGGATATAGAAAACCCCCGCCACGTTGCTGAGACTCAGCGCACTCGTCTTGTCCTGGAAGAGAAAGGAGAAGGGAGGGAAAGGAGGGCACACGGGAAGGAGAACAGCAAAATTAATATGGGATTGCTCTGGGAAGGGAGCTGCACAATATAGCAGTACYGGCATTACATCATCTTCCTCGGTAAATGAACAAGTGACATTTCTAAGAGCATTTTTTAAATTTTTAATTCAGTGTCTGGTAAATCTAATGTTTCCCCCAMACAAACAAATAAACATTTCCTCAGCAATGTGACCCTTTGTAAAGGTTTGGGAACTCTGTTTTTCCATCACATAATATAAGTGCTCGTTTTACCCAAAATGTCTAGTTTGAATTATTGATTAAAGGAGGAAAAAAATTTGAAGTTTTCCTCCTCTGTGACATTTGCTTGTCCCTGATGTCTCGCCTGAAATAACCTGTTCTCTTGGAAATGCTCATTCCTTCATTCCTAGATTGTTTCCCCCGCAAATTCTGTTGCTGAGCAACACATCGAAGTGGCTGGGCTTTTTCTTTTTTTTTTCCTTTTCCTTTTCAATACTGAGGTTAAGGTGACACCTGAGCTGTCCTCAGAAACTCATTTGATTTCTATGTAATAAGGCAGTTATTTCATATGCAATCAAGACCTTCTGATGCATGTCTAAGCTAATTATTTGGCTGGCAATAAATAGGGYTATTAATGAGCCTCAACTTTTAGTCAGCAGCTACATTCTGATTTTACAATTGCCTAATGAATTGTCACGGCTCTCTGGGGAAGAGACAAAGCTCAGAAAGACTCATTTTACTGCGAGGGAAACCGAATTCCCACATCTAACCCTGATGTCACCCTGTGCAGCTTTCAAAACCTTTTCCTCTTTGTTGACCAGGTTGAGTTGGGGTGTGAGGATGATCTGGGCAGTACCAGGATCCCAAATTTGGCTCAGTTCCATGTGCAAGGCTCCTGTTTCTAGGACAGGCYTTCTCTAGAGCCATTCAGACAGAGTCCCTGCTCTGTGCTTGCTGCTGCTCTGCAATATTCACTCAATACCTATTTTCTGGTGGAGATTCCCCAGGGCCAGCCCAGCAGCTCAGTGCAAATCTGTTGGAGTCTGAGCAGCACTGACAGCCCTGCTCTGTGGTGTGGGAGGAGAACCGAACGTGGCTCATTTGAGATGCAGCCACACAGCCAGAGGATGATATCCATGCCTGTGGAAGTGTCTGCAGTGGTCATGGAGCYTCTGCACAGCTCTTGGTGCTCTCCTCTGTTGCTCCATGGACACTGGGTGGGCTGCTGGGTGCCACAGCCTGTGCCTTCACCTTGGAGGACACTTGATTCACTTGCTTAGCTTGGCAGGTTTCACAAGAAGCAGCCCACAGATTTTGGGAAAGGGATGGGATTCAGGAAACAGAGAGGTGTATTGGAACGATGTCAAAAAGGTCCAGTCCAACACGAGCACAGAAGGTTTCCATACAGGGCAGTCTGCCTGACACCACTGCAGTCTTTCAGGCAAGGGTGTTTTGCAAAGGATTCTGTCTTTTTCTGTATTAGGGTTTGATGACACAAGAAGTCATTCCTCAAGGCATGAAAACAGCTCAATTTTCACAACTGAAAAAAAAAACAAACCTCCTGTAACAGAAGAGAATGTTTGTTTTTTTTTTTTAATTAGAAGAAAAGTGGGTTCCAGTCAAGAATGCTAAAAAGATATTTCTTCTTCTATTTCCCCTTCATTTGTTCCACTGCCCAGACAAGTGCCAAGCTTCTTCCCTGTTGGAGCTCCGTGCCATGGGAGCACCTTTCCATCCTGAACTCTCTGCTGAAGGATGCAGAAGTTGTCATGGGACCATCCCTGCTGAGTTTTGGTTGCTGGAGAAACCTCCACGAGTGATCTAATTTCCTGTGCTTTGCTGATGGATCCCTTTGACAGGGGACTCGCTGCTGTCACCGTGTGCTGCTGGGAAGGTCGGAGTTCTCCCCTGTACAACCTTCCTGCACTGCTCAGGTTGTAACCTTGATGCTCCCCGTGTGCCCTCTGTAATCAGAGATTTCTGCAAACAGCCTCTTAATTTCTGCAGTTTCAATATTTGAAGGATTATTTATCTGTTTTGTTTTCTAATTTATCTTTACACAGTTTTTCTCCCAGCTTTGACTCTGTGTTTGTTCAGTCATCTCTGCAGATTGTTGGGTACTTTCAAGCACTGAGTGGGAAATGCTGGGAGTTTTTTAGTGGAGATACAGAAAAGCAGAGCAAGTACTCTGAGGAAACTGTGCTGCAACATATCTGGTACTTTGCCTTTTTAAATTCAGTCTGAAGGGGCTGGCCCAGATTYAGGGAGAGATAAAGACAGTGGAAGTGGGCAGCCCTCCTCAGCATCATAATCTTTTAGTCTGAATCCTTAATGAATGGGAATACACAAATATCAGCATTTATTTGCCAGGATATTTATTTCCACCCCCATTTTGGGGGTCATGGTCCAATGAGGCACCTCAGCTGGCTGCAGTGGCAGAGCAGCCTGGCAACCAGGAAAGGCTGCTGGTTCTTAATTCCCACATTCTTCCTCATGCCAGCAGCAAAATAACAAATAAGAGAGAGAGCAGATGACCCAAAGCAGTTTCCTGCACCACCACTACAATTCATTTTGGGGCTGTTATGTTTTTCTTGCATTTACTTTGCAGCAGCATTATTATTGTTATTGTTATTATGCCCATTACTGCCATTCCTAWTATTACTCTGACAATCTGGGGGAACTGAAATTTGTCTTATCCAGAAGGCAAAGGCAAACATTGTGAGGCACAGTGGTGGGCAAAACTGCAGGGAGGGAAAAAGCAGCCTGAGCTTCATTTCTGCTACCCTAGTWAGGTTTGTCCCAAGGAGCCAAAGGCAAGTTCCTGGGGCTCTAAGGAATGCTGAACTGCAGGAGAACGGCTGATGGCACAGCCTGCTACTGAGAAGTGAAACTGCTCCTGTGGTGATGCTTGACTTCTTGCTCATCCTCCTTTTAATATTAGGKTTTTTTTCCCTTTTCTCTCCCAGCAGGATGTGCAGAAATGTTCTTTGGGCAGGAGTGACATCTCATTGCTCCCATCAGCTGCAGGACCAGACCCACAGGAAGGGTCAGAAGCCCTGAGTGCCTCTCTGAGGCTCTGCCTGCGGTTTCCATGCATGATCCTGCCCTAGTAACACTCATAATAACAAAAAGTCGCAAATTATGCTATCTGCTTGAGAGGACCCTCCCCTCCTCTCTGCTCAGCTCTGTGACACCAGATGCTCTCCTGCAGAGCTGCCCATCACCGAGCCAGCTTGTTAGTGGGAGTGTAAATGTCACTGCTCGTCTCCTGCAGCGGCAGAGCCCYGACGTGGGGGGAAGATTGGCAGGTGAAAAGAGAAAGAAAAACCCATCTTGCTGAAATAAAAACCCATCTTGCTGCAAGAAAAACCCATCYTGTTGAAAGTAAAACCCATCTTGCYGAAAGAAACACCCGTCTTCCCGGYCTTGTTGCTGCAGCAACCAGGCGCCTTCCCGTCTGTTGCTCTCAAACATGGCACCGTGTCCATCATCCCCTTTGTCATCATTCAATCCTTGTTGGCTTGCAGATATTAGGGCCAAATTTTCCCAGTTTCCCAGCAGGACTGGTCCCTTCTGTCACCCTGCGTGAGCAGAGCCCGTTGGCAGCACAGAGTGATGGCACCTCAAGTTGTCTCAGTCTCCAGAAGATGAACYGTCCTCAGAGAAGGTGAAAGCTCCACCAAAGTTGAGCTTTTGCCCCAAAAGCTGGGCAGACTTTAGTGAGGGAAGGCCTGAAGCTCAGCATGAAGGACACAGTGCTGGCTGTCACCTCAGAGTKCTGCCAGGGGATGTGCAGGAGCACATGGATGGTTGGGGATGAGACCGTCCAGCATAAGAACCTTTGATTTGAGAACCTGACAATTCCCTGCAAAGCCAGTGCAAGGCAGTAGCAGGAGTTGTTCCTTCTTTTTTTTCTTTTTTAA